GGAGGAGTCATAATCAAGCACACTTACTTCTATGACGGGCAACAATTTAAAACAACTTTTTGTGCTGGACAGCTAAATTAAACAGCTATTTTTTTTATTTATAGGTCACCTTTTTTAGAACTGAGCCAGCTGGCTGGCTATGAACTGTACAAGGGTGAAGATGTTCCAGCTGGTGGTATAATAACAGGAATTGGAAGAGTTTCAGGGTAAGTGTCAGTGTCAAAGGGTGAGAAAAATATGCAGCCTGACTGGGACTTAAACCTGGGGCCCATATACTGTACCCTGGCTTTACCTATAGAGCTGTCGGGCAGCTTACACATTCTATCCACTTAAATATTGAACAGTTCTGAACAGTGACATACTCCCCCGCTATGTTGAAATTTGTCCTAGAATTCCTCAGGGTTACAGAGCAATGCTTATCAAACTCTTAGTTACATGCAGTCATGGTCACCCATTTGTCATCAAATGTCATGGGGTGAGAAACAAGTGCAGTCTAACTGGGAGTCGAACCTGGGACCCATGCACCGCGGCTCTACTGACAGAGCTATCTGACCACTTACACATCATCTCCCCTTAAAAAGTAAACATTTCTGAACCGTGACATCAGCTGGAGCTAAATTACAGTAATAGGACGATGTTAGGGGTGTCAGCTGGAGGTATAATTACAGAAATAGGACAAGTTTCAGGGTAAGTGTCAGCTGGAGGTATAATAACAGAAATAGGACAAGTTTCAGGGTAAGTGTCAGCTGGAGGTATAATTACAGAAATAGGACGAGTTTCAGGGTAAGTGTCAGCTGGAGGTATAATAACAAGAATAGGACAAGTTTCAGGGTAAGTGTCAGCTGGAGGTATAATTACAGGAATAGGACGAGTTTCATTGTAAGTGTCAGCTGGAGGTATAATTACACAAATAGGACGAGTTTCAGGGTAAGTGTCAGCTGGAGGTATAATTCATGAAAAGGATGAGTTTCAGGGTAAGTGTCAGCTGGAGGTATAATTACAGGAATAGGGCAAGTTTCAGGGTAAGTGTCAGCTGGAGGTATAATTACACAAATAGGACGAGTTTCAGGGTAAGAGTTAGATGGAGGTATAATTCATGAATAGGATGAGTTTCAGGGTAAGTGTAAGCTGGAGGTATAACTACAGGAATAGGGCAAGTTTCAGGGTAAGTGTCAGCTGGAGGTATACTATCAGGAAATGGACAAGTTTCAGGGTAAGTTTCAGCTAGAAGTATAATTACAGGAATAGGACGAGTTTCAGGGTAAGTGTCAGCTGGAGGTATAATTTCAGGAATAGGACAAGTTTCAAGGTTAGTGTCAGCGGGAGGTATAATTTCAGGCATAGGACGAGTTTCAGGGTATGTGTCAGCTTGAGGTATAATTACAGGAAAAGGATGAGTTTCAAGGTAAATGTCAGCTGGAGGTATAATTACAGAAATAGGACAAGTTTCAGGGTAAGTGTCAGCTGGAGGTATAATTACAGGAATAGGATGAGTTTCAAGGTAAATGTCAGCTGGAAGTATAATTACAGAAATAGGAGGAGTTTCAGGGTAGGTGTCAGCTGGGGGTATAATAAAGGAATAGGACGAGATTCAAGGTAAGTGTCAGCTGGAGGTATTATTACAGCCCACGGATGTTTTGATTGGCTACAGTTATTCTTCAACCAACATATTGATGGGTATTTATTCACTTATGTAAAGTCAAGCAACAATTGCCTTGGATTCAACGTTTTTTTGTGATGACAAATTGGAATAGGCTTTTTTGTTCAGCAATGCTGCTGTTATTATTAGAAATTAAAATAATTGAATGAAATAGTTATTTATTTTGAAATTTTATCAGTCAAATTGTCTAATGAACCATATTTCTTCTCCCCAATGGGCGTACTGAGGTTGTTGTTTTTTTTTCAGTGTAGAATGTATGATAGTAACCAACGATCCAACTGTGAAAGGCGGGTCATATTATCCAATCACAGTGAAGAAACACATCAGAGGACAGGAAATTGCTCAACAAAATCATCTGCCATGTATTTATCTTGGTATGTAGTAGTTAATTGTCAATGAATGCCCCTTTCTTGACATAAACACCTCCATGACTCAGTGGTTAACTTTGAGTATGTAATGATGCAAACATATTTCTTACTAAGTGGTTATACTGTTAACCTTGCCTATATATGGATGCAAATATATTTCTTACTGATTTTGTTTGAGCTATTTCCTGCGCTAAGTGATTTGGATAATATGACCCGCCTTTCAAACAGTTTTGGATCGTTGGTTACTAATCATACAATTCTACACTGAAAAAAAAAAACCCAACAACCTCAAAATACGCCCATTGGGGAGAAGAAATATGGTTCATCAGACAATTTGGACTGATAAAATTTCAAAAATAAATAACTATTTCATTCAATTATTTTAATTTCCTAATAATTAACAGCAGCATTGCTTGAACAAAAAAGGCCTAATTTCCCAATTTCTCATACACAAAAAAAAACGTTGAAATCCAAAGGCAATTGTTGCTTGACTTAACAATAAGTGAATAAATACCCATCAAATAATGTTGGTTTGTAGAATAACTGTAAGCCAATCAAAACATCAGTATGCCTGTAATTATACCTCCCAGCTGACCTTTACCCTGAAACTCGTCCTATTCCTTTATTATAACCTCCAGCTGACACTTACCTTGAATCTCGTCCTATTCTTTAAAATTATACCTCCAGCTGACACTTACCCGAATCTCGTCCTATTCCTGTAATTATACCTCCAGCTGACACTTTACCCGTGAATCTCGTCCTATTCCTGTTAATTATACCTCCAGCTGACACTTACCCTAAAACTCGTCCTATTCCAGTAATTATACCCTCCAGCTGACACTTACATGAAATCCTCGTCCTATTCCTGTAATTATACCTCCAGCTGACACTTTTACCCTGAAACTCGTCCTATTTCTGTAATTATACCTCCAGCTGACACTTACCTTGAACTCTCGTCCTATTTCCTGTAATTAACCTCCAGCTGACACTTACCCTGAAACTTGTCCTATTTCGTAATTATACCTCCAGCTGACACTTACCCTTTGAATCTCGTCCTATTTCCTGTAATTTATACCTCCAGCTGAACACTTACCCTGAAACTCATCCTATTCCTGTAATTATACCTCCAACTGACACTTACCTTGAATCTCGTCCTATTCCTGTAATTATATACCTCCAGCTGACACTTACCCTGAAACTCGTCTAATTTCTGGTAAAAATTTTTTTAATACCTCCAGCTGACACTTTACCCTGAAACTCGTCCTATTTCTGGTAATTATACCTCCAGCTGACACTTACCTTGAAATCTCGTCCTATTCCTGTAATTATAACCTCCAGCTGAACACTTACCCTGAAACTCGTCCTATTTTCTGTAATTATACCTCAGCTGACACTTAACCCCTGAAACTCGTCTATTCCCTGTAATTATACCTCCAGGCTGACACTTACCCTGAATCTCGTTCCTATTCCTGTAATTATACCTCCAGCTGACACTTACCCTGAAAACTCGCGTCCTATTTCTGTAATTATACCTCCAGCTGACACTTTAACCCTGAAACTCGTCCTATTCCGTAATTATATAACCTCCAGCTGACACTTACCTTGAATCTCGTCCTATTCCTGTAATTATACCTCCAGCTGGACACTTTACCCTGAAGACTCGTTCCTATTCCTTGTAATTTATACCCCGAGCTGACACTTTACCCTGAAACTCTTCCTATTCTTGTAATTTTATACCTCCAGCTGAAAACTTACCCTGAAACTCCTCCTATTTTCTGTAATTATTACCTCCAGCCTGACACTTACCCTGAAATTTGTCCTAATTTCTGTTAATTATTACCTCCAGCTGGTACACTTACCCTGAAAAAACTCAATCCTAATTTCTGTAATTACACCTCCAGCTGACACTACCCCTGAAAACTCGGTCCTATTTCTGTAATTATACCTCCAGCTTGACACTTTTACCCCTGAAACTCGTCCTATTCTGTAATTATACCCTCCAGCTGACACTTTACCCGGGAAACTTTCCCAAATTTTGAAATTTATACCCCCGGGAAACCCCTAACAGTCCTTTTCCCTTTAAATTTTTAGCTCCAGTAAATTCCCCCGGTTCGGGAACTGTTTTTTTTTTGGGGGAATGAGTGAAGTGGTCAGATAGTTTCGCATAGGGGCCCGGGGGCCCATGGGCCCCCCGGGTTCGAGCCCCAGTCAGGCTGAAACATGTTTCTCCCCCATGAAAATTTGAAGACGAAAGGGGGGGGCCATAAAGGGGGCATGTGGGTCAGATTTATAATTACATCCCTCTGTAACCCTGAGGAATTCTGGGAACAAATTTCAACATACGGGGAGTATTTTCACTGTTCAGTCTGTTCATTTTTAAGGGGAGAGAATGTGTAAGCTCCCCCACAGCATTGTAGGTAGACCAAAGGTACTGTATATGGGCCCTTAGGTTTTTAAGTTTAAGTCCGGCTGCACATTTTTCTCACCTGTGACACTGACACTTACCCTGAAACTCTTCCTATTCCTGTTATTATACCACCAGCTGGAAAACATCTTCACCCGTTGTACAGTTCATAGGCCAGCCAGCTGGCTCAGTTTTAAAAAAGGTGCCTATTTAAATAAAAAAAATAGCTGTTTAATTTAAGCTGTTCCAGCACAAAAAGTTGTTTTTAAATTGTTGGCCATCATAGAAGTAAGTTGCTTGAATTATGACTCCTCCTTTAAATTACTGTTAGTCATATCCAGCCGTTTGTCTAAATATAACAACAAACTTTAATGAGTTCTAGGCCAGAGTGCTTTTTTTGTTGTTTGCCGCCCCCCCCCCAAACCTCTCCTGATAGGATCACTACTGCAATGTAAGGTCTACAAGAACTGCTAAATTAAGCTCAAATTGATTTTTTTATCTATAAATGCCAAATTGAAAATCCCAAACTAGCTCAAATAGATTTTATTTTTATCAAGATGGAAGCCAAGTATGTACAGTACTGAGGGGGAGATTACTCTAACAATACAATGGATACTCACTCGGATCTAGTAATTTCATAATTCTCTCCCTTGGTAAAAGTTTTGCCCCTTGACATATGTCTTTGTCTTGCCTTCTCACCACCACCTAAAACAGAGATATATTAAACAACAGATTGGCAGAGAAGATAGCAATGTTGACTAATAAAATACTGAACGCAGTAAAAGGAGACAAAACCTATGAGAAAAATTTGACATAAATATATTTCTGTATAAGTATCAAGAAAGCACCACCCAAATGTTCCAATATTTTTTGCACTACATAATATGTATGTGAACATGTCAATAAAAGTTAAACAGACATTGCTATGCTGTAATGCTAAAATTTGAAGTAGGTACCTAAATTTATTACTATCCTAATGCAAAACCTCCGCTTTGAAGAGTATTCAAATAGGCTAGAACTACTGTTAACTACATTGAAAATGAGGGCTGAGGGTTCAATCCCCAGAAGGGTCAACTTGTTTTTTCTTTCTTTTTTTTTCTTTTAACATTATTTATGTATCTCTCATGTCCCATTTGGAAAGAAAAAAGTGTTTTTAATTTTTTTTTTTAATTTATAATATTATAGGTATTTATTGGCTAAATTATGCTAATTCTAGTAATAAATATGGATCCTGATATTTTCAAAGAGTAATAAAATCAAAACTAGAAATGTGTCATCATGCCACGGATGCCCTGCATGCAGCAAAATTTCAGATGTTATAATAAATTATTTAGTTCAAAATTTGTTTGCACAAATTATTATTTTCATTTTCAGTTCAAAGCCCTTAAAACTTTTTCAATGTTAACACAAACCATTTTCATACAATGTTCAAGGCACTGAAATTATTCAGTCTTAACCTTTTGAAAATAGCATATTTCATTTTTGTAGCCAAAAATAATGGCTACATACATGCTGAAACTGAAAGTTCAAAATTTTTCCAACATTCAAGAAAGGTAAGTTTGTCCAAAATCATTGAACCACGACCAAATTCAAACTTAAACTGCTTATTCCTAAGATGTATCTATATTATTTTCAAAGTGAAAGGGACATAACTCTGGGCAAAAAATCATCGAACCATGACAAAATTCCAACTTGACCTGCCCATTCCATTGACATATCCATATGTCAAATCTGAGTTGAATATGTAACACTGTTGGGTAGATAATAAACAGAAACTGTAAATTTCATATTATTTTCAAAGTGAAAGGGGCATAACTCTGCAAAAAATTATTAAACCATGACCAAATTTGAACTTGACCTGCCCATTCCTTTGACACATCCATATGTCAAGTTTGAGTTAAATGTGTTGTACCGTTGGGGAGATAATGAACGGAAACTGAAAATTTCATATTATTTTCAAAGTGAAAGGGGCATAACTCTGCCAAAAATTATTAAACCATGACCAAATTTGAACTTGACCTGCCCATTCCTTTGACACATCCATATGTCAAGTTTGAGTTGAATGTGTTGTACCGTTGGGGAGATAATGAACGGAAACTGAAAATTTCATATTATTTTCAAAGTGAAAGGGGCATAACTCTGCCAAAAATCATCGAACCATGACCAAATTCGAACTTGACCTGTATTTTCTCATGACATATCAATATGTCGAATTTGAGTTGAATGTGTGCAACCGACAACCGTTACTAACATAAAGAACAGAAACTGATGATTACAGAATGACGGAAGGAGACGGAATGACGGAACAGGGTAACACTACATGGCGGGGGCATAACTAGACGGTAAAAGTATTTCATATTTTTTCAAGATCAACCAATATACTTTTTAAAACATTTAGGGAAACTTTGAAAACAGGCACTCATTTGGCTAAATTTTAAGGATTTTTTAAATTAGGCTCCTTAAGTAGGAAAATGGTCAGACATGTGGTAAAAATGGGTGGGGTAGGGTAACATTTCTATACAGATTTCATTAATTTTAAGTAGAAACCATAATTTTGCTTATGTGGATTGTTAGCTGAATGGTACTGTTAAATTATTTTGTTTCTACCCAAAAATTAATGGGAAAACATTTTTCATTAGAATGTCATTGTAGATTATTTAAAGGTTCCTCATTTCTAAAAAAATCTAGAAATGTGTCATCATGCCACGGATGCCCCCGCATGCAGCCAAAATTTCAGATGTTATAATATTTAGTTCCAAATTTGTTTGCACAAATTATTTTTTTCATTTGCAGTTCTAAGCCCTTAAAACTTTTCAATGTTAACACAAACCATTTTCATACAATGTTCAAAGCACTGAAATTATTTAGTCTTAACCTTTTGAAAATAGCATATTTCATATTTGTAGCCAAAATAATGGCTACATACATTTCCACAAAAGTATGAGTGCTGAAACTGAAAGTTCAAAATTTTTCCAACATTCAAGAAAGATAAGTTTGTCCAAAATCATTGAACCACGACCAAATTCAAACTTTCCACAAAAGTATGAGTGCTGAAACTGAAAGTTCAAAATTTTTCCAACATTCAAGAAAGATAAGTTTGTCCAAAATCATTGAACCACGACCAAATTCAAACTTAAACTGCTTATTCCTAAGATGTATCTATATTATTTTCAAAGTGAAAGGGACATAACTCTGCCAAAAAATCATCGAACCATGACCAAATTCCAACTTGACCTACCCATTCCTTTGACATATCCATATGTCAAATTTGAGTTGAATATGTAACACTGTTGGGTGGATAATGAACAGAAACTGTAAATTTCATATTATTTTCAAAGTGAAAGGGGCATTACTATGCCAAAAATCATTGAACCATGACCATATTCGAACTTGGCCTGGGCATTCCAAAAACGTATCCATATGTTTAATTTGAGTTGAATGTGTTGTACTGTTGGGTAGATAATAAATAGAAACTGAAAATTTCATATTATTTTCAAAGTGAAAGGGGCATAACTCTGCCAAAAATCATTGAACCACGACCAAATTTGAACTTGACTTGCGCATTCCTTTGATGTATCCATATGTCAAGTTTGAGTTGAATGTGTTGTACCGTTGGGGAGATAATGAATGGAAACTGAAAATTTCATATTATTTTCAAAGTGAAAGGGGCATAACTCTGCCAAAAATCATCGAACCATGACCACATTCGAACTTGACCTGTATTTTCTCAAGACATACCCATATGTCAAATTTGAGTTGAATGTGTTGTACCTTTGGGGAGATAATGAACGGAAACTGAAAATTTCATATTATTTTCAAAGTAAAAGGGGCATAACTCTGCCAAAAAAATCATCGAACCATGACCAAATTCGAACTTGACCTGTATTTTTCTCATGACATATCCATATGTCAAGTTTGAGTTGAATGTGGTTGTATCGTTGGGGAGATAATGAACGGAAACTGAAAATTTCATATTATTTTAAAGTAAAAGGGGCATAACTCTGCCCAAAAATCATCGAACCATGACCAAATTCGATCTTGACCTGTATTTTCTCATGACATATCCATATGTCAAATTTGAGTTGAATGTGTGCAACCGTTACTTAGATAATGAACGGAAACTGATGATGACGGAATGACAGAATGACGGAAGGACGGAAGGACGGAAGGACGGAACAGGGTAACACTATATGCCCCGGCCATTACATGGCGGGGGCATAAAAAGGCCCTCAGAAAAGTGGCCATAACTTGATTTCCATACGGTAAACTTTGTTTAAATTTTGCATATAGTTGTACTTAAAGGTATATATCTGACCTATGATGTCAATTTTTTAGTTCCTAATAGTGCCCATTAGGGTGGTCATACCTTAAGTAATGAAGTAGTTATAAAAAAAAAAACATTTTTTCACATAAATTCCAAGTTCAAGGGGGGATAATGCTGGAAAAAATGTGTGCTAGAGCAATGAATCTTGTAACCCACCATGTGGGTAATGATAAGGAACATATATTTGAAGTTTGAAGTATATATCCTAAAAAATAAAGAAACAATAGTACAAAATAACACTTATTATGAAAAACAAGAGCTGTCTGTAGGACAGCACGCTCGACTATTCTAAGTGCTTGATAGTAAAAGAGCCTTGATAATGTTAAATTTTTTAAGTTCACAAAAGGGCTAATTTTTTTTTATAAATTCATGTTATAGGTCTTAGAGAGAGTCTAATTATACAGAATTGGCTTGACTATTTGGAAGGTAATGTCACGAGGGTTTTTTATTGAGTATAATAATACTAATTACCTGAATACATAAATTTGACAGAAAAGGTACAAAAGCTTGTTATTAAGATGTTTTATCAAGTAAATCACTGCTTTATTATTATGAATGCAAAATATTGTCCCAAACAATGCACAAACCCTTCAATAATTATGCTTACAAGCAAAAACTTTACCATGAATTTCTAAGTTGAAAAAGGGGAGTAAAGTCAGCCTAAATGCAAGATAGAATTATTGATCTTGGTCAGTGACCTACAATTATGACCCTTAATGCATATCTGAAGTTTTTAATAAACATCTTTGATAGTTATTGAGATATGTAAAACTTGCATGTAAACATTAACCAAGAGACTAAGTAGAAAAGGGGATATGAATCAGCCTTCATGCAAGATAGAGTTATGGAACTTGGTCAGTGACATACAATTATGCCCCTCCAATTATGACCCTAAGTGCATGTGTAAAATTTCAAGTAAATATCTTTGAAGATTTTTAACCTTTAACCAAAATTTCAAAGTTTCAAAGGGGCAAATAATTCTGCAAATATTGCAGACAGAGTTATGCAATTTTGCAAACTGATGTACATTGTTATTATAAATAAGAATTTTAAATTTCAATTGAATATCTCAAGCAATAATTGAGATATTTGACTTTACAAAAAAACTTTAACCAAAATTTCGAAGTTCCAAAGGGGCATAATTCTGTCAATATGGTAGGCAGAGTTATCCAACTTGTCAATCTGATGTACATTGTTACTATAAATAAGTATTGTTAGTTTCAATTGAATATCTCAAGCAATAATTGAGATATTTGACTTTACAAAAAACTTTAACCAAAATTTCTAAGTTAAAAAGGGGCATAATTCTGTCAATATTGTAGGCAGAGTTATCCAACTTGTCAATCTGATGTACCTTGTTACTATAAATAAGTATTGTAAGTTTCAACTCAAGCAATAATTGAGATATTTGACTTTACAAAAAACTTTAACCAAAATTTCGAAGTTAAAAAGGGGCATAATTCTGTCAATATGGTAGGCAGAGTTATCCAACTTGTCAATCTGATGTACCTTGTTACTATAAATAAATATTGTAAGTTTAAATTGAATATCTCAAGCAATAATTGAGATATTTGACTTTACAAAAAACTTTAACCAAAATTTCTAAGTTAAAAGGGGCATAATTCTGTCTATATTGTAGGCAGAGTTATCCAACTTGTCAAGCTGATGTACCTTGTTACTATAAATAACTATTGTAAGTTTCAATTGAATATCTCAAGTAATAATTGAGATATTTGACTTTACAAAAAACTTTAACCAACGCAGACGCCGACGCGGACGCCGACGCCGGGGCGACTACAATAGCTCTCATATTCTTCGAATAGTCGAGCTAAAAATTAAGTTCATGTAGAGATAATTCTTAAAATATTCAGGTCCCAAAGTTAAAAACCTTGTCAAAAATAGACAAAAATCTATTGATTAAATCATGTTTATTCAAATATACTTTATAGCATTATGTGACGTCAGTGTTATGTGACATCAGCTGTAAACTGTCACATGGTAACGCCCACTGACAGTACTGTCCAATAATCACCTAACATGTCACAAGTTTCATGCAATCATACTAGACGAGTTATCTTACTTCAAAACGGACAGGTTCGGTATAAAATAAATATGACAGATGATATTAAGTACTGGCACGATCTATTGGCAATGGGTATAATGTATTAAACAATTATTTGTAGCTCTGTGAAATATTGATTTCATAAACATTTTGGCCCCGCATAAAACCTAATTTTACAGTAATATCTAAGTTGGTTTTTCAGTAAGTACTAATGTTTTGTTATGCAGTGTTTCTGCCAGAGCGCGTTTTTGCGTTTTTGGCGCACTATTTTCGTCCATGACGCAATGAAATTTAGTTAGTGCGTATTTTGTGACGCAAGAATTTCACCGTCGCTGATTTCAACACGAGTCAGATATACAGACTATAAACCGTCAATTCAGTATAAAATGTACGGCATGTTTACCGTGGGCTCCACTAGAATTTTAATGAGAAATGAAATTTACCGGGTCCGTGGTCAGGCATTTAGCCAATTTCAACTAGTTAATAAACGCTTGCATTTATACGATACTGCATATATTGAAAGCGCCCAGACAAAATTATTTATTTTGTTGTCATATTCCGCGAACGAATTAACTGTCTGCTGGAAAATGCCGTCTGCTCCAAAATAGCGGAGATTGACCAATTTCTTTACGAAAAATACACAAAATATTGTTGTCCATGACCAAAAAGAAGTATCATATAAAAAAATGTTGACATTGACCCCAATTCCCCGAAAGAAAAACAATCCATTATAAATGGTGTAATTTTGTTGATGATATATACAGGTGAATAAATTGACAAAAAAAATTAAAATAACTATTTAAAAATATAATACAAAAACAAGTATTTAAGTTAACAATATTTTTATTCACATAAAGTTGAACTACATGATGGTACATAAATGTTCTCTGGCAAGAAGTAAAGTGCCTTAGAAAATAAAACTTATAAAGTGTTACCTGTTGTTTTTTTACATTTTTGTTAAATTTATTTGCATGACCCATATGAATTTGAAATGACCCCTAAAATATCATACAGGGGGTCATAAAAGACCCTCAGAAAATCAGAGCTGGCAGAAACACTGGTTATGCGCCTTTAATATTATCAAGCTGGGAGTCACTTGGGTATGAGAATTTTTAAAGATACCTTGGAGAATTGTCGAAACTTTTCCACGAAGTTCACTGACCAAGTTTGTCATCACCTCATAGTTCTCCTGCAAGAAATATGACACATTTTTGTTACTTACAGCCTCACATGATGATATCTTTAATCTACATAATGTTTTTATATATACTTTAAAAATGACACTTAAATTTTGTCTCGTTCATACATCTGCTTGATTTGGTATCAATAATTAAATAATGCAAGTAGAATTAAGAGTTTAAATGAAAAATATGCGTACTGCTTCTGTATGGGAATTGCTTACATTCCAGTTTAAAGACCTTTTTACGATGCGGTCCGTTGCTAAGAAGAATTGACCGGAAGCAGTATTTTCACGCACATACGCAATCTGCTTAGGGCAAAAACAAGAGCCATCAGTAATCACATGTGTCGCCTCATGATGGCCAATTTCATGTTGGGACAAAGTTTGTGACAGACGGACAGACAGACGGACAGTGCACAACTAGACTTGGTACTGATCATGCCTATAAAGTTTGGATAAAATTGCACCAGTAGTTTATGAGGAGTAGTTGGAAAAGCTTTTGCGTATCTGGCAACACACAGAAAAAACAGCTTTTTATCAAAGGGCCATAACTCGGCCAAAAATCATTCAACCAGAAAACCCGTGCAATATGCGCAAGGACTTGAGCAACAGATCAATCCTGTAAAGTTTCATTAAAATTGCTTAAGTGGTATAAGAGAAGTAGTCCGGACAAACTTTAAAAATAAAAATTATTAAAGGGCCATAACTCTGACAAAAATCATTGAACCGGAAAATGCTGACAATATGCACAACTAGCCTTGGTACTGATCATTCCTGTAAAGCTTGGATAAAATTGCACCAGTAGTTTATAAGGAGTAGTCCGGACAAGCTTTTGTGTATCTGGCAACACACAGAAAAAAAACACCTTTTTATCAAAGGGCCATAACTCAGCCAAAAATCATTCAACCGGAAAACCCTTGCAATATGCGCAAGGACTTGAGCTACAGATCAATCCTGTAAAGTTTCATTGAAATTGCTTTAGTGGTATAAGAGAAGTAGTCCGGACAAACTTTAAAATTAAAATTATTAAAGGGCCATAACTCTGCCAAAAATCATTGAACAGGAAAATGCTGACAATATGCACAACTAGACTTGGTACTGATCATTCCTGTAAAGCTTGGATGTACTTTATGAGGAGTAGTCCGTACAAGTCTTGTGACGGACAGATGGACAGACAGACAACGGAGAAGTGATCCCTATATGTCGCCACTACTCCGTAGAGGCGACACAAAAACGTTGTCCTACAATAGAAATGTAGTAGAAGTTCATTGATAATTTATGAGTTAGTTTAACGTAAAAATTAGGAAATCATTATTATTCATATAAAATAGCTTTTTACACAAGCATGAAAGATACATTAATTTATAGCTTTGTGGCCATATTGCCAAAAAGGGGCATGTAAAAGACGATTATTTAAGAATTCCCCCTAACGATCAAGGACATTACAATGAGATAATTGATGTAAAAAAATGTAGAAATATATTATATTATCAAATAAAGAAGTCAATTTATTCATTGTTCAAAATTTTCCTTATAAAAACTAAAGAAATTTTAATATGAAATTAGGCAAGGCCTATGAACGGGGAAGTCGTTAAAAATTCCTTTCATTCTTTCCGTTTTAAAGGTGTTATTCGGTATTACATGCACCGCTTCCGTTTTCACTCGGAACACTCGACGATTATCATTTATCCGAAAAGTTGAGATTTGTTCCGTTATCGGAATACCCCGCCTATTATCATTGAGTTACATTGTAAATGGCGGCGCCCCGACTAGAACTGACACTGAAAATTTCATTGATAGGTATAGAATTCTATATATTTTTTAATTGTTTTTTATTTGATTTTCTTTTACATATACACGTGTAGTCTATAGCCGGGCAAGCCAAAGCCCGGACCCGCTTCGCGGGCCCGGTCTTTGACTTCCCCGTATAACATTTAGAATAGAGGTGTATTAATTATTATTCTGAAAATAAGTCCGAACACGTGCTAATTTATGTTTTTTTAGTTTTCAGCTAATACCTAATATTATCCTTTATCCGACTTGACTGTGATGCCAAGCAGAAACTTTTTAAGACACACAGATTATTTAAATAATGTTTCAAAGTCTTGATAGGTTAAGATGGGTTATGAAATAACACACATTTTATATGGTTTCTCATAAAACATTAAAATGCACGCCACATACACTATTTAATTGTCACTTCACAAAATTAATAAACATTGATGGTATAAACTTAAAAAGCTACTTAAATTACGATAATTTCATAATTTTATGTGATACTTTTACTATGTCATGGATTGGTACTAAAACGTCCCGGTTGAATGATACTGAAAACTATAGCTGGCATTAAAAATAACAATTAAGCGGTCACTCGATCACGTGTCAAACTGTTTGACACTTACCGCCTTGCCAATACGCTTTCAAAGGAATACTGATTGTGTAATATTATGTAATACATATGGGTAATAAAATTGTATCTTTAACACCCTGCTGTTTCAATTTAAATTACTGATGAAAAAGTCATTGTATGATACCTTGAACAGGACTTTTGGTTATTGAATTATTAGTCCCGCTAACTTTGTATATCTGTTATAAATATCAATTCACATTTGAAGTACAAACCGCTTTAATTCATCACAAAAATTCTGTTTTCTGGGTGACATAACTTATACATGAAAGCACTCTTAGATAATATGAATGACACATATCAATTCAAATGAAATCAAACTAACTGAAATTTTCAAAAATAATATATATCCTATACCTAATGAGTTGTGAAAAAATCCTTTGTTAAATGGGTGCCGCCATTTTAAAATCCTTTTGAGCTAAATAAAGATGTCAGAGCGCTTTAAATGAGCGTCTAATTATTCAGACTATTGCTAGCAGATGCATACTAAGTAACACTTCCGGTGAAAGAATGATGTACAGAATTAGATAATAAACCTGCATTTCATTGATAAGAATTAAACAAGTAACGATCATAAATAATATGAAATTAGGCAAAGCCTATGAACGGGCAAGTCAGTTAAAAATCATTTAGTTTTCCGTTTTAAATGTGTCATTCGGAATTTCATGCACCACTTCCGTTTTCACTCGGAACACTCGATGATTATTATTAATCCGAAAAGTTGCAATTGTCCGTTATTGGAATACCTCACCTTTTATCATTGAGTTACATTGAAAATGGCGGCGCCCAACTAGAACTGACACTGAAAATTTCATTGATAGGTATAGAATTCTATATATTTTTAAATTGTTTTTTATTTGATTTCCCTTTAAATATACACGTGTAGTCTATAGCCGGGCAAGCCAAAGCCCGGGCCCGCTTCGCGGTCCCGGCCTTTGACTTCCCCGTATCAAAAAAAATACTTAACATATCCCTTTTTGATAAATTAGCACATGAAAAATAATGTTAAAACAACAACTGTGATTAGAGATTAACAACAATGGCGGACGGGATTTTCAAAATGCCGACGCATGCGCAGTGGTCCCCCTTTACGTTCCGATGATAGGTTGAACACCACCAATTTATTCTTTTTGTTTGTAAAGAGCTTTCCACGCCATAGGTAGCACCTAATTTCATATTAATCATGTCTTTTATAGCCTTCAAGTACGCAATATGTAGTCTATCGTTATTGAGCTTTTGCTCTATGCAGAATGCGCATGGGCGAAATGCAACATCGGTTGCTATGGAAAAATTGTATTGTAAAAGGTCTATAGATCTACTGATAAATGGATGAAAATTGAAATTATAATAACAACTTTCTTTTGTTGTTTTACTGAAAAAAAGTTTTAAACACATTTTGAAAAATAAATTATTTAATTAAACATATATGTGGGAGTTGTCATATATACATACATACAATCCAAACCACGCACCTATGTGTTACTGATCAATACCCCACCCATTCATTAAGCACTACTAACCTTTAGTCCTATAACATAAGACGTTTCCGTTCATACTACGTACACTCCAACGTCTTATCGGCTTCTTCATAAGTTCCTTTAGCAAAACGCGCAGCGATTTTGAAGCGCTATATAAACCGTCGTAATTTATTACAAAAACAATATTTTGAGTAAACAGATATACAGACAGTAAATTTAAACATTTTTGCATCAATGTGCAGCAAAAAAATAAATGACTCACCTACGTATGTAAATAAATCCAATCCAATTTCAAATCACACAAATTTCAGCCTGTCTGCTGTCCATTTCCTCCACTTCTCGGAACAGTAACAACCGAGGGCGCCCGAATCGATATAATTATAATTCATTTTGACGAAAAAAAATTTTACAGCAGAAAGATTAGTGATCGAGGCAATCCTCAGTCACTATTAAAAAAATTAATTTTTTGGGTAATGATATAAAGTATTAGGATATTTTCTGTCACTTTTCTGTCACTTTTCTTAGTTTAAAAATATTATCACCGTTTATTATATATATAAGTAGATATGTATACACACAGATATACATACACTCAACTCCATGGTATACAGTATATAGTTGTATGAATATAATCGATTAAAGAGCAAGGACACCTCATTGTATCATCAAACTTGTTGATTTGTAAATTACATTTCCAAAAATGCTTTGAATCACCGTTCAGCCACAAAATATTGCTGACGATTTTTTTTCTAAAGTATTTTCTTGAGATAGATTCCTTCACGAAGAATAACACTAATGTTTCTTAACTCTTTAGATGAACCTTTTAAAATGTTAACCCCGCAAGATCCTACAAACTTAATACAATAATGGTGCTTTATGTCCTTTATACATGTAAATAAAACAAAAGAAACAGTAAGAATCCCTAAAGAAAGTCCAACACGGCAAAATTGAAAATGTTGCAGGCTTGGCCTGATTGGGCTTGTTCATGGACGGTACTGTCAAGTGCAAACTACTGACGAATAACATGGCGGATCATGGGCTTGCCACTGGTTCTTGTTGCTGGATCGTGTAGGAGTTGCGTTCATTGAACGCCGCCTTTCCTTTTTGATCTTGTTTATCATAATTTGTTCATAGAAGATTGGCCGTCCAGTTTTTTTTTTTTAAATCATATATGGCATTAGATCCTCTGTTCTGATTTGCTTAGCGCAGGCGTGTACAGTAAAAAAAATTCAAATCAGGTTCATTATATATCTCGCAGTCCGTTAACGGCGACAATAATAATGAATGTACATAGGTATCTTCTTCTACCGTCTAAAATTCAGTCCAAAACAGGCATCGTTTGATATGTGAGCGAGGCAATCCCCATTCACAGTCAAACATGTTTCTGTCTTTTACACGGGATATACTAGTCTTGAAGATTTTTGATAAGTTTGCGAATTTTTAAGATCCAAAGTTGTGCAATTTCAGGACCAGGATGAATGCCATCAATATACAAGTTGTAATTAAAATAATATCGAGATCGTGATCCTTTTTTCGTTTTTGTATTTTTTTCTAAATCCAATGAAAATTTAGGCGTATACATGGAATTGTATGAGTCGACCAGTTCGTTAAATTTTGCTACTAAATCCTCCAGATCTTTATCATCGGAGTCAGAGAAACCTTTCAAAGTATTCCAAGTTTTCATTGAATATACCGGACATTGAAGAAATTGTACACGTGCGGAAGAGTTAATCTGTAATACTGAAGTGTGCATTTTTACCATCTTAGAAAAAACGTCTTCGGCAGAGATATTCCTGAGACTAATTGTTTTATTACGTTCTAATTTTGTAAAGTCACATGTACCAAGCCAAAGCAAGACCAATGGAGCTTTTAAATCTTTAAGCTTAACTTCAAGACGGCTTAGTAAAGCTGCATCTTCAACTCGCGCTCCACTCTTCCAAATAATATCCAAGTAATCCCTTCGTTCAAGATGACGCGATAAATACCTTCCTTTACTGTCAGTTACTAAAAAACAACGACTTCCTGTATGGTGGTAATCTTCTACACAGCATCACCAAGCTTTCGATTTGTTTTTTTTTAAGTTATTCACAGACATATTCAAAGTGTGAATATATTACAATATCAAAAAAGTATTCCAGTTAACTGTCAGCCAAGTTTTATATAACCTGTTACAAATCCTAGACAAAAAAGGAGAGACGAAAGTAGCGTCTTTTAATAATCCATGTTCAAAATTCACTTAATATGATATTAGAATACAACGTAAGCGTACCTTAGTACTTCATGAAAGATAATAGAACTCTCAGCCATGTGATGATCGGAAGATCGGAATACTACAAAGAGATAGATTTTCGGGTCACATCAATTACGTCGTCATTGAACAGAACAAGCAGGCGCTGTACATCATTTGTAATTTTGCGGACACTTTATACATACATGTACACCATTCAATAATAAATGATTGCAAACAGTTTTTCAACCAGTATATAAAATCATTATGGTCTTGATAACTGATTTTCAACGAATAATAAATTATCTAAAAAAATGTCAATGAGTATCTAAAATTATTAGTTTTTCATAAATTACTAAATGTTTATCTTGTAATAAAAAAGTAATATGTTAAGGTAGACGAAATGTTCATGTATTTCTTCTTAAAAATTAATTGCCTCTAAGTTATCACATGCAGACCCAAAAATGAATCTATTTAACGTGAATGAAATTTATTTCACGTGATCAAAAAAGCGCAAGAAGTCTTTGAAATACAGATGAACATCAACATTATGTGCCAAACAGTGCACATTAATTTCATCAGGGTATTTCTATTTGAAGGACCCTGTTTTCATTAACATATTTTCTATCATGATGTTGACAACATAAACATTTTCACGATAACATAAAAATGTCGATCCTATCTGCGAGGTTTTACTATATAGTACATATATTTACAGTTTAACTGGTTAATTAAGTTTATGTGGACAACGTAAAGCATGAACTGCAATAAGCTGTTCTATTTTAAGATGTTTGGAAAATGAAATCTTATTTCTATTATAGATATTGAACATTGAATGAGAATTGTCTCGCAAAACCATAAATGCAAAACTTCCAACAAATTCAAGGAAATAATATGAACCAAATAAATAACTTTTGTTTGCAAATTTCAAAGTAATATATCATTTCTGTTATATATTCCTTTCACGATGATTAAATATCTGTGTAAACGCACAAATGAAAAAAAAATCGACTACATTGCACTATAATCCAATCATCAAGAGACAAACATGCAGAAAAATTAATTTCGTCTAAAGTAAACCGAAATTTTAATTAACCACATGTATACAGGTAACATGGCCGAATGTATATAGCGGTGAAAATGGTATAGATTGTATTGGATTGGATTTATTTACATACGAAGGTGAGTCATTTAATTTTTTTGCTGCACATTGATGCAAAAATGCTTAAATTTACTGTCTGTATATCTGTTTACTCAAAATATTGTTTTTGTAGTAAATTACGACGGTTTATATAGCGCTTCAAAATCGCTGCGCGTTTTGCTAAAGAAACTTATGAAGAAGCCGATAAGACGTTGGAGTGTACGTAGTATGAACGGAAACGTCTTATGTTATAGGACTATACTAACCTTGTAGTCAGGGTTGGTTTTGTCCGGACTTTTACCAATTGTTGGAGCCTCGTCGACATAATATGTTCGTAAAGGTATACAAACTGTTTTGATATATTCATTAAATATATTTTTTCTACATGACACTTTTGCATTTCGGAGACATTTGCAAATATTAATCATTTTTAGAATTATGATTTACAACCGGAAGTTAAATAATAGCGCTCGTAAGAATAAGCTAGTCATGAACTTTTTTTCAAAAAATCTTTTTTTCTAAAATGCCAAATGTATACAGTATGCAAAATTAATAACTCTATATTTTGATAATCAAAAATACCTTGTGAACCTAACTTTACTGATCTAGTTAACTATTTACCGAAATATTTTGTTAGATTATTAGAATTAGGGGGATACTAATCGACGGTCTCCGGTCTCCGGTCTTCGACGGTCCTCGAAGACCGTCATTTGTAGGGGGGCAATACACAGTTTTCAAGGCTTCTCGGCAAACAAATGACTGCGCCACAATCAAAACCTCACACACAAGTCTGTAATCACACACCTGAAATAAATGCATTTCATATTTAACATATACATATGTATCTCACAGCAAACAATTAAAAATACATGTCCACCTTCTAGTTTTCTGGCACATAGCCCTGTGTTTTTCATTGTTTTGGTCGCGAAAATCAACGACAAAAATAGCGGATTACCCCTATTCGCAAAATACAACAATATATTAACGTCAAAAGATTAAATCACAAGCTATAGTGATTCTTCCTTCTTAAACAATGCACAATCTGAAAATAACATCCAAACGGGGAGTCATGCACCTACTTTTTTCACTATTTTAAGTCTTCTGCATACCCTTTAAATTGAAGAGCTGATTCACCGCCTAGCTCCAAAAACCACATGTTCGCATCCGACAGGTGCTCTCTCAAAAAAGCAAGGGTTAACGCCACTAAATTCAATTTTACCAAATAACTGAAACACAATACTAGTCATTGAAACTTGAAATATAGTAACTATAAACATTTAGAACCTCAAATATCCACTTCAATTTCAAAACTGTCTCTTATTTGTAAATTCCACCCTGGCCAATTCGAAACTAAACAGCCGAAACTGTGTACTGCCTCCTAGGTGACCGTCGATTAGAATGTTATAACACAAATCGACGGTCTCAATATTATATACGTAATTAAATTTAAAAGACAGAATGACAAATAGGCAATAACAATTTTATTTTCAGTGATTAATGTCAATAGTTTAGAGTGATTAAATGCAAAAAATACAGTAATAATGGGAAAAAAATGAAATGTTTTGATGATTATTAATGTATTTGTCACAGGGTCAAATATTTCTTGTGGAAAAGAAACAAACTCTGGGCGTAGGTTCGACGTTTTTAATGAATCCAAGTAAAAATGGTCTAAAAATATAATAGATTAATAATTATACATCTTACAAGTACAATACATATAAAAACAAAGTACATTGAAATAACAATATATACACAATCGACGCGGCTTAAGAAAATACAAAAATACATATCTGAATCTGAATCTGAATGTGTACACTGCAGAACCTTCCGGTATGTACGTAGCGGGAGAGAGGAGCTAAGTAATTTAGTAGCACTGTTGGAGAGCTGTTTTAAAGCTCTGTACTGTCTCTGCGCACACAACGGCACTGTCTAAATTATTCCAATCACTAATAGTCTTAGGAAAGAATGAATGTTCAAATTGGTCACTTTTTGAGATAATAGGTTTATAGCACTTATGATGGTTTATAGCTTGTTTTTTTTTACATAAATTAGATTACAATTAATATCTTAATCTTAATACTATTTCTTACCACAGCGTCTGTTATAACGAAGAATTAAAGATCTTTACTTATATAAAGTATTTCAATATAAATTGAAATATAAAGTAAGAAGTAGATCTAATGTTAAATAAATTTAACTAGTTATACTAAACGTCTGACTCGTAAGAGATGACTGTAAAGTGTGAGCGGGACAAGAAAAGCAAACAGTGCGCAGAAGTAAAAAAATTTAAATGAACCAATGGATATCTCTCTCACATAGAATCATACATAACAAACACAACAATTGGATAAGTTACAAGAAAGAACGAGTGACTAGTGTTCACGATATTGCACGGGTGAGATCGACAATGTACACCACTGACGGAAACTGTCGATTTTCACCGATTCAATACCGGAAGTTAAAATTACACGATAAAAACCAAACGAAACCGAATACAAGGTTAGCTTTTAAAAAAGCTAGTAGCGACTCGCTTCGTAATTTTTTTTCAAGGGGTGTGTTTAAATGTAAAAATGACAGTTCTGTTAGCTAAAGAGACTTCAGCGAACATCAAAATAAAAGTGAAGTCAACACTGGCCCGGTGCCCGATGGCCAGTGTATATAAGTTCAGGCCAGTGTAAATTTAAGAAAATTTTGTTAATTATTTAGTAGAATAAATTCAAAACTGGAATTCGGGCCAGTAAATTCAAAATCTTAAACTCATTGACTGAAAGTGACATATAAAGTTCTCTCAGTTTAACCAAGATGAGTATGAGTATATATGAAGGTGCATGTAAACAGATTGAATGAAGAACCTATGTCTATGCACATTTACTATATGGCCTGTTGACCTTGACCACAAAATGTTAGATAGGTAGATTTCATAAAGATGTCTCTTTATACAAAATTAAGTTGTAATACATGTATGTTATTTAGTATTGGAATGAGAGGCACAAGTCCTAAAGTAAACACAAGTTGTCAATCAATTCAGCCAGAAAAGCCGGGATCCTATTAAAAAATATAGGGATCCCAGAAATTGACCAGGCTAAGAAGATGTTTTTCAGATAAGCCGGGATCCTATTAAAACATATAGGGATCCCGGGAATTGACCAGTTCAAGAATATAGTTTTCAGAAATGCCGGGATCGTATTAAAATGTAAATAGATCTCACGGATTGGCCAGTTCAAGTATATAGTTTTCAGAAAAGTTGGGATCGTTTTAAAACATATAGGGATCCTGGGATTTGACCAATTCAAGAAAATAGTCTTTTATTTTTCCAATTAATTAGGCATATAATTATAAGTATTGTTATTTCCGCATTTTAAGTTTGTTAATAAATAGTTCTAAATATATCTATATTCTAAGTTAAATTAATTTAACGTTCATTACATACAATAAAAAAATTAACATTTTATGGCCTTTCATTACGACAACAATCAACACAAATATAGTTCATTAGGTTTTTCCTCCATATCTTATACGATCCCGGATCCCGGGCGTCCCGGATCCCGGCCAGTAAATACATACACTAAATACCGGAAAGGATAAAATGACCGGAAAAAAGGAAAAATAAAAAATGCACAGAACCAGATGTACACTTATGTTAATAAACCAAACGAAAACTTACTACAGAGAAAACAGGTGAAATCGCTAAATCAGAAGTCAGTTTAAATATGATTTATTGAAAAGAATTCATAAAGACAAACATTTTAATCATCATTATATCTTTGCGCTCAAAACAATACTTGCTGATTTTTAAAAATGGCGTGAAAATTGAAGGTTTTTTGACGCTATGTAAGATTAAATTTGATTGGCTAAATAATTTGGGATCCTAGCCCTGATAGATAAATTTTGTAGAAAGCTGGAAGCCAAGCTTCGATTAAATTTTTGGATAGCTTCGGAGTTTTAGGTTGTTTCTCAGTAAAATCCTACCGTAATACCGGCTCGCCGTGGCGAGCCGGCAAAAACGCGCGTGCACGATGTTTCCACTTTAACAAAACTATGGAAATCCACGGCTGCCATTACTATATAATTTCAATCTGTGACATATTAATAGAATTTAGATATTGTGTTAGTTCAGTTGTGATTGAACAATGATCAATTAATTGTCTTAATGAAATAAATACATTTTTTAAAAGAAAAAAAAAGTGAGATAATGTATCTGAAAAAAATCACATGAAAAGTTAGAAAAGTAACAAAAATATATTTAAAGAAATTTATTAGAATTGAAAAAATCGTCAACTTCTGTCTGTAATTTACTATCTAAGGGAGAATGCTCGTTCATATCCATGTACCAAACTCCGACGCCTTGGTCCCCCTTAGTTGCGCTACAAGTTGGCAATATTGACCCAGACATTTGAATGTTCAATGACCTTCCGTCGGAGAAGAAAATTTTAAAGATATTACCAAAACACTTGCCAAACTACCAAGTATATGGTTAATATTATTAAGAAATGTTTCAAACATCGGAAATTCAACGGTCAATTGATCAATTTTGTTTATTTTGATCTAAAAATAACTTAATTATCAGGTTGAATGATTTGACCTTTACAAAACATCTTTTCATTGGTCTAAATTTATTTATGCATCATATTGGCATAACAAATTTTTATTGGTCGTTTATATCATCGGCGGTAAAATATTTTCGTTCTTTTCTCCTTGACAATATTTGTCATTCTGTATAAGTTGACCATTAGGATCACATGTTGTTTAAAATTAATTTTTGTTATGTGTTTCAGGAAATGTAAAGCATCCACCACTTCGTCAAAAATGTTTCCGGTATTTGGGACACACATGTTACAGCCTTTCCGGGAATTAACATTTCTAGATTAAGTTATAGAATATCACAGGGTCATGTTGACTTAAGGTCCGATTACATTTTATTACATGTTGGTACTAATATATGACGTGACTTGTTCACATACTGTAGATGAAATTTTATCTTCTTTCAATGATCTAATTTCTAATGTACGTCAACATTCTTCTGGAAATATTATTGTTTCAGCTATTATTCGTAGGCCTATAAATTTTGAGGTTACAGGCAACAGGATCAAAATTCTAAATAACAAACTGGCTCTGCTATGTAAGGATAGGCATGTTTTCTTTATTCGGACATTCAAGCCCTTTCTTAAGTGTGTTATTCCTCGTCGGGAATATTTTGCTATTAAGGATGGGGGTTTGCACTTGAATTTGGAGGGTACTAGGCGCTTAAGAGAATTTTTTATTAATACGATTTCACATTTAAAATAAAAGATTGTGGAAGTGCTTTACATTATGTTGAAAGCCTGTTTATGTAATTTAAAGAATAACTTGCAACAAGAGATTTTTGTCAGTATTTTAAAAGTCTATTGTCTTGGGTTTTCATAGAAAATAGGTTTATAATGTTAATGTTCTTGTCTTAAATTGCCTGAGACATATTATTTTCCAGGATAGGCTTCTTCTTACAAAATGGCTATGGCCACTTTGAAGATTGTTCTACTAAGGACATGATAAAGTTAGTCTCTTAGTGAAATGTATTTTGTTGTATTTTGTATTACATATGCTTTGTTTTCTTTGTATGGCCTTGGGTTTGGCTTTATGGAGAATATTATATTTGAATGATTATAAGTGTATTTGCAAGTTGAATAACAAAGCATTTTAAATTGATGACTTATGAAAGTCACACATTGATAATTTAATTATATGTGCTTTGTGAATTAAATATGTGATTCAAGTGATCCATGGTACACGTATACCTAAATACATTCTTTAACCTGAACTTTGCTTTTGTCTTTTATGAATGAAAACTTATAATTTTGTTTATTTTGATCTAAAAATAACTTAATTATCAGGTTGAATGATTTGACCTTTACAAAACATCTTTTCATTGGTCTAAATTTATTCATGCATCATATTGGCATAACAAATTTTTATTGGTCGTTTATATCATTGGCGGTAAAATATTTTCTTCCTTTTCTCCTTGACAATATTTGTCATTCTGTATAAGTTGACCATTAGGATCACATGTTGTTTAAAATTGAAATTTCCCACCCTACAGTACCCACCCTTTAAACATTTAGATACGTTTTATATGAATGAATAAAAGTATTTGGATATTGGTTCATTCATTGATGTATTTCAGTGTTTAAATGGCAACATGTGTTAATTGTATGTACTGTAAGTTGATTGACATTTATGTTGTTATGGTAGCTATTATGTTGTTGATGTCTTTGCCTGAGACTCATTGAATCTCAGGAAAGGCCAAATCTTGCAAGCTGGTAACGGCCAGTCTTGAAGATTATACTACTAAGGAGATGTTATGACAATCTCTTAGTAGGTCTTTATGGCGAATATTATATTTGAATGATTATAAGTGTATTTGCAAGTTGAATAACAAAGCATTTTGAATTGATGACTTATGAAAGTCACACATTGATAATTTAATTATATGTGCTTTGTGAATTAAATATGTGATTCAAGTGATCCATGGTACACGTATACCTAAATACATTCTTTAACCTGAACTTTGCTTTTGTCTTTTATGAATGAAAACTTATAATTTAATTGAATTTTAATTGGACCGTGTCCTCTGCATTTCAGATTGCAAAAAGCAATCGCAACATCTCAGCTATTATTCATTATAACTAATCCGAAGTTTGACGGAAATGGCCGGGAAGTCGCGATTGTGCAAATGTAAAACTCGTGAATAGTGCGACCCACTGGTATTTGTCTTTCCAATTTACATTGCAAACATCATGCTAATAGGGTGTATAAACAACCATTCATTGCGACACAAATGATCAAAACTTTGCTTACTTTCCAACTTATAAACACTTTCAGAGTGATCTCATCATCTTTAAAAGTTTATCAGAAAGGGCGCACCGCTTGTTTTTGGACATTGGATCGACACATTGTACCTGTAACCTGCCAATGGTGCGCTTGAAAAGGTTGTCCCTTCTCTTAGTCTGAGAAGCTGTTCAAATATATATGAGCTTGAAAATGGAGTGATATAGCCCCACTGCGTGATAGCCCTAACTGCGTTAGTCACTCAGTAGATATATGGTACGTAATACAGTCTAGCAGCTGCAAAATCAGTCATTAAAGGCGTACAACATTTAAATTATTTCATAAATTATGAATATCTTTACTTTTCTTAAAATCTTAGTATATTTTTAGTATAATTATATTGACATTGTGTCGTATTACAAGAACATACTGACTTTGGTGCACCAAACATTTCATAAAAACAACCTCTCTGTAGTGCCTTTGTAGCTGACCGTTCATAGGCCGTGCCTCTCTATATGTTCATTTAGATGACAGCCTTGTTACCATTCTTACATAGTCTTGCTTCTTGTGAACTCAAAGTTACTTTTTTCGCCAATTATTCTTGGAATTTAAGGATACATGTATACTTATTCCATCAATGTAGATACATATAGTTTTCATGAGCGGGTTCAATATTTCTCCTTACACGATCGTTTGATATGATGTTTGACCTTGTCACATGGATTTTTTTAATTCATTTGCAACAACTTATAAATGTTATCATAATTTGATCTAGTGCAATTGTGCCGATGAAGCTATTCCTATATTGGGAATGAACGGGTTCGTATCTCCAGGTAGTGACTCCTCTATCTTTTACTATATGTCTTCAACTAACCAAGCATTGTAACCATCAAAGTGGCATTATGCTCATTTGAATGTAAATCATACAGGTGAGAACACAGGCAAAAGTCAAAATAACTGTCTCCATTTACCATCATTATGTTCAAAATTACATTTTATTATGCAGAACTTATCAATATGCCAGGTGTCTTGCGGACATTTCAATATTACGGAAGAGCATTAGTGCCAGGTGTATGTTTTTTATTAACTCGAAATTTCGAGTTACTAACTCGAAATTTCGAGTTACTAACTCGAAATTTCGAGTTACTTATCTTGAAATTTCGAGTTACTAACTCGAAATTTCGACTTACTAACCCGAAATTTCATATATGGGGAATGAACGGGTTCGTATCTCCAGATAGTGACTCCTCTTTCTTTTACCATATGTCTTCAACTAACCAAGCATTGTAACCTTCTAAGTGGCATGTATTTGCATTTGATCAGACTTGTCAATATATAAAACGGAATTTTTTTTTGTTGCAGTTCTGTTGATAATGACGGTGTTTCTATCTTACACGTTAACGTTATGTCTCATTCTTACATCAACTTAGATTAAACTTATTAAATTTAGTTTGATAGTGTAAAAGCTATAAGCTTATTGAAACACTCTCGAATCCATTCCTGGAACCAACCAGTACTAAGCAGTGAGTTTTTTGCTCAGGGAAACATCTAATTTAATGGATTGCTCCTGACGGGGTTTGAACCCACACGGCCAGCAATCTTTATATGACTAGTCCGATCGTTAACCACTCGGCCACATTGCATTCTCACATGAGTACAGTGCATATATTCTAAATATATTAATTTATTTTATGACAGCTGAGTCTTTGCTTAATAAGGCAAGAGGGCCGTGATGGATCTGAAATCGCTCACCTGAATATAGAAATTATCCATGACAAGGAACAAGTTATATTGTTAACTATAACAAACAAAAATAGATATAAAATCTAAATCTTAAACTGATATAACAAAGTTCATATTTGGATCTGAAATAGTGCATGTGTAAAAACTTTACTGGTTGCCAAAAGATGTGTACATATAAAGGAAATCAACGAGGGCAATTTTTACCTCAGGGCTTTAACAAAGATTTGAACAAAGATGGTAGACACTCACTAGAAGATGTTTCATGCTTAATATCTAAGCTCTAGAGTCTAGCAATTTTTGTGTGTGTTTTTTTGAAAAGAGACTTTTTAAGTTTTTAAATTTACATATAAGGAAAATCAATCATCCCCCAGGGGGGGCAAATTTTGACCCCAGTGATTTTTATTTAAACAAACTTGGTAGGCACCCATTTGAAGATTGTTAATGCTAAATATATCAGCTCTAGGACCTTGGAGCTTTTTTAAGACCTTTTCAAGACCTATATACGTATAAGGAAAATCAATGATCCCCCCTTGGCCTGCCAATTTTGTCCCAAGGAATTTTATTCGAACATACTTGATAGACACTCACTAGAAGATGTTTCATGCTTAATATCTGAGCTCTAGCTCTTTGGATTCTTTAAAAGAATATTTCTAAGTTTCTTTCGTTTAGTTGCCATGACAACCAGAGTTCTGAATGAAATTAAAGTCTCTGACCAATTTTTAAAGTGACCACCAAAGGAACATTTCTGTGAAGTTAAGATGAAATTGGCTTAGCGGTTTATGAGGAGATGTCGTTTAAAGTAAAAGTTTACGGACGGACACAAGACGAATTGTGATCACAAAAGCTTACCTTTTTAAATTTTGTGACAGGTGAGCTAAAAATAGTGGGAAGTAAATTTTCAACAAGTTTTATACCCCCAACTAGTTCTGTAAGAGAGGGGACAACAAATAATACACTAATCAATTATGTACATTTCTTTATTATACATCATACATATACATTAAACAAGTCATACATATATGCTAACCTATCAAACAAATATATTTTAAATTCTTATCACATGGCAAAAAAATGAGTTTGAAAAGAAAATATGATTTGTGTAGCAAAATGTCAACAAAATGGTTGAATTTTTTAAGGCTTAATGGGCCTTTAAAACAAATAGTTACAACAATTTAAAATGTATGTATAAGTGTCATGTCACATAACATAACTTGTTATAAAATAATATAATCTTATTTTCATAAAAGGATTGCAATACCTTGTAATTATACAATTAACAATATTAAAGAAACTCCACTAAGGTTTATAAGCCTAAAACATAACATTCTAATTTTCACAAAAATAAACATGAGCACTTTAAACAGAAATATAAATTAAATATAACAAAGAAATATACAAGAAATACACTGAAAAGTGTATGTTTGGGCTATTCTCAGTCCGATTTGATTGAAAAGCGTTTCAACACTTTTGAATTTTGGATCATTTTTCACTATAATAATAATAATTCTGGAAAAAGGGAGCGAGATAATGATCTTAAATTTTGCTTATAGGTCATTTATATAGATCTACATCAAATGGAGATCTACATCAAATGGAGTAATAATTTCAAAAAAATTATTTCCAGTCCCGGCATGTCAAGAATCCTCCGTGGAGTCCCTTTAACATGTAATATTATGTACTATATACATTCAATCAGAATTTCATGTAAGAAACACATTCAATCAGAATTTCATGTAACAAACACATTCAATCAGAATTTCATGTAACAAACACATTCAATCAGAATTTCATGTAACAAACACATTCAATCAGAATTTCATGTAACAAACACATTCAATCAGAATTTCATGTAACAAACACATTCATTCAGAATTTCATGTAACAAACACATTCAATCAGAATTTCATGTAACAAACACATTCATTCAGAATTTCATGGAGCAATCAGACATACGTAACATATGTTTATAACATATCTTCACCTTGGTATATACTAATATCAGCAAGTATAAAAAACTAACATACCATTCATAACATGTAGTTATATCATAACTGTCTGAAAGCATTAAATCTTTATTTTAGCTGAACCCGGAGGTACTGAACCCAGAGGTACTGAACCCAGACGTACTGAACCCAGAGGTACTGATTCCGGTAAACTACATTCATCATGAATGAAGTGTAAACATGACAAGTATCCGTTGGTTACCCAGGACAGAGGATTACAACATAACTTTTGATTAATTTCATGTAACATATGTTTAACAATACATTTAAAATTACATATCATAATTATGTTAACATCAGCAGAAATATAACTTATGTATACCTATAATGTTATTATGTCTTGGTACTAAAATATGACACATTGTTTAGTTAAAAAGTTCTAATTGAACTTCGTTTTTGGGGGTATAAAAATCCATATTAATGAAGTGTAGTTTTCACACTGACTTTCGCTATATAAAATCTTTTTAAACACTGTCAACAGGACTGTGTGCTTGACTATCAACAGTGATGGATAATGCAGTATTTTCAAAAAGGGAAATAATTCTGTCAATATTCATTTTATAGTCCATGATCCTCAAACAGTGACTTCCTATTACTCTCATATATTACTCTCATAAAATCAAGTAATTTAAAATATAATTCTGAATACGTCGAAAATCATCAGTGGAGACCCTTTAACTTTACACTTTGAGTAATACTGACTAACAGTATTGACTTTTATCGTTTTGCAGAATTTTAATTTTTCACACTTTTTTCAACCTTTACAATATAATACAATCAAAGAAGAAATCTCTAAAATACAACATGTAAATGGTCCGCATCTCAATGAAACAATTTATGTATACCATTTACTTGTCCTATTTATCATGTAACAGGTATTCATTATTATACAATTGACTATTCCTCTATATCATATAACCCTATATATTATATCATTGGTAATAATATATACTGTTCCCTTGTCCTATATATCATATAACAGGTATTTATATAAACCATTCCCTTGTCCTATATATCATATAACTGGTATTTAAATTATATCAATCATTTGTCCTACATGTATATATCATATTTGGTATTTATAAATATCATTCACTTTCCCTATATATCATATAACTGGTATTTATATATTCCCCTGTCCTATATATTGTATAACTGGTATCTATTTATAACATTCCATTATCCTATACACCATATAACTGGTATCAATATACATGTATATCATTTACTTGTCCTATAAATCGTGCAACTAGTATTTGTTTATATCATTCCATTATCCTATACATCATATAACTGGTATCAATATATATCATCCACTTTTCCTATATATCAAATAACCGGTATTTATATATAACATTCAATTACCCTATACACCATATAACTGGTATTAATATATATCATTACATTGTCCAATATATCATATAACAGATATTTATTCATTCAGTTACATTAATCTTTTACTTCTTCTGCCCTTGTACATTATGATATAACTGGTATTTATATATACCTGATTCCCCTGTCCTTTATATCATATAACTGGTATTTATATATACCATTCCAGTGTCATACATATTTATATGACTGGTATTTGCATGCTATCTTTTACTTCTTCTAACTTTTATGACCATGTCAATTACATTAAACATCTGTTTTATGATATTTCCATTAAATTTACTTATTCATTAATTTATTTACTTGTTTTATTTTCAAATCTATTTATGCATTTATAATTAGAACATTACTTTTTACAAATCATATTCTTTTTTCACAAACTATCCCTGATCTTTTAAAAAAAACAGTTATCTATAATTTCTTTATATTTCTCTGCATTTCTTTATTTATTTAAAATCACATTTGAATATTACTTTCATTAATTTTAAATTTATTACAATGATCAGAAATTAATATTTAATGAACTGTTTTTGATGATTGTTATCTATCATATTGCACTACATTCATTATTTAACTTATCAATATGTAACTTTAGCATTATTATTTTTCTTTTTTGCTAATAATGAAAAGTCTATTTTTATATGTCTTTTATCATGAAATAATTAAGATTAAGCACTACGTTTACTGCATGTATTCTCCCTCACTATGTTAACAATTCGGATAATTTCGGATAATTTTTTTTTTCGAAAATGAAAAACCAAATTATCATCTCTCTATGTTCACTTCATGCATCCTATATCACTTTTTTGTTGAAAATATTAACAAATGATCAGTATCACGTTTAACATGAAATAACTGATCCTGGTCTTTTACATACTGTATAGCATCATTTACCTTCCCTCCTCTTAGTACTGATATCAATATTAACCTATCAACATTAAACTCCTCACCATCTCCTGTTATATAACAGCCCCTTACACTCACATCTACAGTATGAGGAATATGAGGAAGACTATCAACAAACTTCTGCCATGTTGTCAAACTCATTATGACATACTTAAGCTCAATGTTTTTTTAAACTCTTCATCTCTAAAGGTGACTGTAGTATATTGTCAGTTAACCTAAAATACCATAACTCAGTCTTACTGAGATTGTGTAACAATGGTAATACTGTGACTAGTCTCTTTGTTATGTTGGTATAATATAATTGAGATTTATTGTTATCATCTGCATACAATTCAAGTTCTTTTAATTTGTAAGATTTTCTAATAATATCAAATATTTTCTCATAATTTCTATTTTTCAATTTACCAAATATAAATATTTCAAGATTTGTAGTATCAACATCTATCACACTAACAGTATATCTCAAACAAAGGTACTGAAGTTGTTGATGTTTTGATAAATTTACATCATGCTGGTTCTCACACTCACATTTAACTTCAGTAAGATGTATTTGTTCAAGATGACTGGTTCCCTCAAGAAAATTACAAAATGTAGTAGTATCATCATGACTCATTGTTATACGACTCATACTTATTGCTACAAGATTGATCATACTAGGTAGGTTACTAACAACTGTTTTACACACTGGGTAATACTTGTCAGTGTAGGAGACACCATTAAGAGACAGAGATTTTAATGTTAAAGTATTTACTTCAATTGTCTCACAAATACAATTGTTTATCTCATTTATACTCTGTTCATTACTCTGTGATCCAAAATCATATGATATTGCAATTTTTTCAAGATGATGAAACATTTGTAAATATTTTGTAAATTTAACATTTTCTGTGTTGATTTTATCTACATAAATAGACAGAACAGAGTCAGGAACAATCTGATGCTGATCAATACCTGAACAAACAATATCGCAATACTGACCCAGTCTATCAATGACCAAATCTCCTACATAAAACACAGTATTACTACCTATACTACATGCTGCTTTGAATTCTTCCATTGACTCAAACATAAGCTTTTGAATATCAGCAATAAAACCATGATCGCTATAAAAAATGTTACTTATTGTCCTGTATTCCTGAACACGAGAGTCTTCTGACACAGTATCATATATGTATTTTGAAACATGTGTTGCTAATCTAGGTTCAAGACCAGATAGCATAATAATTACATTTGACTGCTCTAATATGTCATTTACTGTTAAACATTTCTGAAAAACCTCATTAATAAACTTCTTGGCTAATTCAACATTTCCTGTACTATCTGACAAACCAATTTTTGCATTGAAATTGATGCCAATATTCACTGCAGCCAGAAATTCTTGCATTGATTTGTGAATAAAAGAAAACAATGAGCTTGGTGGTTCTGATACAGATAAACTTGGACATTCATCTTCTGTAATTATTCCAAGTTTCAAGCAACATTCTCTTACTTTATCTGATATTTCTAGTTCATCAAACATACAAATGTCAAATGTCAAGGATTTATCCTTGGGACAATTAAATAGTGTCTCATAAGCCAACTGTGACACATAATAAATGAGATGGCTGTTTAATTTCAATATGTTTTTATCAGCTAAGGTTTCAGGAAGATCTACTTTCTGAGCACCCTCCATGAGTCGGGTACTTGTTCCTGCAGTTTTCATGTCATTCCAGGTAAAGAAAAGTTCTAACATGCCAGTGTAAATGGCACATTTTGAAGTTTCATCGAGTTTATCATCAAACCATAGACAAATCAGTTGCTGCAGCATAATTGGTAGCTGTTTTAAACTTTCCAGGGACTTTTCTGTTAGCTTTTGTTTACAAACCCTGGCATCTTTACTAGCATGTCTGCTGAAATTTAATTGTGAGACTGTTTTATCTACCATTTCACTCTCACATATCAAATCAAACCCTTTCAGATTCAGTATTTGTTCAATTTCTGTCTCACTTATTCCTAAGGTGTGAACTTTCCATGGCCGTGATGTAGTTACGATTGTGTAGTCTTTATTAACATCCTGTTTTGGGAGACCCATTGTCTGGAACTGATTGTAGGACTTTCTTTCAGAAGACCATTCATCTAAGCCATCAAGCAATATTATAATCTTTGCAGAGTCCTTTTTGAGAACTGGGCTTGAAATGTCAATATCATACTGATTTTTAATCATATCCTGGACACTGTCTATGTCTTGATTATGTCTTAGGGAGATATAAAACATGATATCAAATTTCTTCATTTCCTTGACTCCTTCAAACTTATCATTTACATTTTGTGCATCACTGTGTGCAGTACACCAACAATTGACCAAATATTTACAGAAACTACTCTTACCAGACCCTACATCTCCAAGAACATATATATGTTTCAAAGGCACGTCATTCTTTATGAAGATATCTGACATTGACTTGACCTCAATCTCCTTTGTCTCCCCTTTCTCTCCTTTTATTTCTCTTGTTATAGTGGGCCTAACATAAATCTCAAGGAAGTTACATTTCTGACCTCGTGATAGTAAAGGCATTGCTGGTACTTTTAGCAAAGTCTTACAGTATGATGCTATCAGCTCTTTCTGCCATTCTAAAATTATAATAAAGTAAAACATTTACATGACAAGCCACCACTAATGAGTGATTTAGATAATTAATGAACACATAATGAATCATTATTTTCAATGTATACTGTAGTCCTAGAAAAGATTTCGCGCATTTTAAGTTAGCGCTTTTCGCGGTAGGCATGATTACGCAAATCTTTATAGCCGCGAATATGTAACTTATAACAAATCCGCGAACATTTCTAGCTTCAACCAAATAAAAACATAAACTTTCCAAATATTTATTATAATCTACTTACACAATAACATATAAACACAGGTGCTATAGAAATGTGTAAAAAATTATGTAAAGTTCATCTCCTTACTAAACCACCACATGTTTTAGCTTGTAATCCATATTTACATTTCAATATACATGTACCTATAATGCACATAACAAAACAAAAAAAATCATGGAAAAATGTCAATTATAAGTAATTATCACGCTTATTCACATTATTTGCTAGTCACAACGTATACACGGTGCATATCCATATCTGTACCCTCTTTGTGAAATTTGCTCAAATTCTGCTAACAAGAGGGCCATGATGGCCCTGAGGTCGCTCACCTGTATATAGCCCCCCCCCAACCCCCACCCCCCCCCCCAACGTTGCAGAGCCAATTTAACCCAAGGGCTTTTATTTGCACAAACTTGGTAGACACCCATAAGAAGATGTTTCATGCTAAACATTTAAGCTCTAGCTCATTGGGCTTTTTAAAAGAAGATTTTTCTAAAGTTTTTACTATACACATATAGTTAAAAACAATGACACCCCTGGGGCCGGGCCAGTTTTGACCCCAGGGCTTTTATTTGAACAAACTTTGTAGACACTTACTAGAAGATGTTTCATGCTTAATATCTAAACTCTAGCTATTTGGGTTTTTTCAAAGAAGATTTAAAGTTTTTGCTAAACACATATATAGAAAATCAATGACCCCCGGGGCAGGGCCAATTTTGACCCCTGGGCTTGTATTTGAACAAACTTGGTAGACACCTATTAGAACATGTTTGATGCTCAATATCTTAGCCATAGCTCTTTGAGTTCTTTAAAATAATTTTTTAAGTTTTTACTATATGCATATAGGGAAAATCAATGACCCCCCGGGGCGGGGCCAATTTTCACCCCAGGGCTTTTATTTGAACAAACTTGGTAGACACCCATTAGAACATGTTTCATGCTAAATATCTTAGCTCTAGCTCTTTGGGTTCTTTCAAAGATGATTTTTTAAGTTTTTACTATATGCATATAGGGAAAATCAATGACCCCCATGGCGGGGCCAATTTTGACCCCAGGGCTTTTATTTGAACAAACTTGGTAGACACTCACTAGAAGATGTTTCATGCCAAATATCTAAGCTCTAGCTCTTATGGTTTTTTAAAAGAAGATATTTAAAGTTTTTTCTTTCAGAGTTTCAGAGTTTTGCATGGAATTAAATTCTTTGAACAATTTTTAAAGGTGACCACCAAAGGAACATTCCTGTGAAGTTTGGATGAAATTGGCTCAGCGGTTTATGAGGAGATGTCATTTAAAGCAAAAGTTTACGGACGGACGGATGATGGACCGACGGACGGACGCTGGACGAAAAGCGATCACAAAAGCTCACCCTGTCACACAGTGACAGGTGAGCTAAAAACATGCCTGATTTAGCCATTTCATATCCTATATAAAATACATTCATGATTAAGCCTTTTTATATTTTTTTAAATACCTGATTTAGCCTATTAATTTTCCATAAAACTACCCGTTTTATCCTTTTCATATTCTATATAACATACATGATTAACTTAAGCCTTTTCATATTCTATACAACATACAGTTAAACTTCGTTCGCTCGAACTCAGATCGCTTGAATACCGCCCTTCGCTCGAACTCATCACCCAGCTGCGGCAAAATTCCTATATAATATATATTGTTCTACCTCGGATCGCTCGAACACCCATAGCTCGAACACTCGAACCTGATCTCTGGTCTGTTCGGCAGAAATATAGTGTAAATCACACCTTTTTGGTCGAACACAAATGGACAACAGAAGTTGCGGGTCGACATGTTCTAAATAATTAACAGTCAGTGACACATGTTTTAAACACCTCGTGATCTTGACAAAGGCAATTAAGGTTAATTGATACGAAAAAAAAAGTGTTGTAATCGATTTGTTTGTTATGATACAATCTTTTATTTGCCGTCTTTAGTAACGATAAAAGGAAAATAACTCCTGAAATGCGCAAAAGTCAATAAATAAATGACGTTTACCTGGACGGCTTTAATTACAACCGTGGTTCATGTAATGTGAATTGTAACAGTGTAATCTATTTATAGAATGATACTTGTTCGTGTGTTTATTTTTGTAAATGACTACAAATAGAGCTGCTGTAATTTTATTTTAAATATTTTATTAATTCAATGCTTAAAGTAAAATTCACCCCATAATAAACATATACCGGTAAATATATTTTGAACAATGTTCACAGTTTGGATAATGATCGCCCGATTGAACTCAACCAATTACAATATGCATGAATATAGATTAACACAGTGTCCCGTTAATACTGTTTTCAATAGGATATGACATATTCGTCAAACGGATGTACTAACAAACAATTATATTAACGTATTTATCATTTGACCGATGTAAGCTGAACAACCTTTAGACCAATGTTCTATGTAATAATAGTTCAACCTCGGTTGGCTCGAACTATCGATCTCTCGAACAAATTTGCTCTCCAAGTTTGAGCGAACGAAGTTCGACTGTACTAGATTTAGCATTTCACATTCTTTTTAACAAACCTGACAGCGCCTTTTCACATTCTGTATAACATTCCAGATTTACCTTTTTCATATTCTATATAACATACCTAAATTAGCTTTTTCATATTCTATATAAAATACCTGATTTAGCCTTTATCATATTCTATATAACATACCTGATTTAGCCTTTTCTTTTTCCATATAACATACCTGATTTTGCCTTTTCATATTATATACTACTCAAAAATTTGCAAAGGATCACTTTTTCTACAGTGTGTTAGTTTTGTGTATTTGTAATAAATGTGAAAATTTATTAAAAAGAATTAAATATAATTAGTAAGAAATTGATTTTTATGAAATTAATGACAATGCAAGTATTCCTTGACGTGTGCCTGTTGTGGAAAGAGTGTGCTGGACAAAAATCAACATTTTGGAGATCACAGTGGAATAAAAAAATCTCGCAAATGAAAAATGTTATGAGTAGAATGTTTAACACAGAGTATGGTGTATGTGGGCATTAATTACGGCCTGGTATTGCCGCAGCAAGGTGATCCTTAGAAAATTTTGAGTTGTATATATAACATACCTGATTTAGCCTTTTCATTTTCTATATAACAAACCTGATTTAGCCTATCCATATTCTATATTACATACCTTTTTACGTCTTTTTCCTATTGACATTGTATATAACATTCCTGATTTCACCTTTCCATATTCTATATAACATACAGTACAGCTCAAGCAATTTTTCCAAAGTCCGTCGATCCCCGCGATTTGTTTACGGGTGGACTGTCACCGCCATGTCCCTGCAATAGTTGTGACTTTCCGCTCGTCAACTTGATCGGGGGAAGTTCGCGCTGTGGGACATTGTCACCGTGGATCACTGTGAAATATTGCAGCGATATTTCGCTCTCTCGGGTGACTATTAGTTTATTTATAACACGGGGACATTTATTACTATTACTGTATGTCTGTAAAATATAATGAACTCAAAACACATTTTTTATAGAAGAAAATCTTTATGTTATGTATTTAAACGACGTTACATCTGTCATATGCAAATAATTACAAAATTTAAAGATTTGCGTGTGAAATTAAAACCCTAATATGTAGTAACTTTTAACATAATTAATTTCAACTGCTTTAAGCCATTTTAACCTTCTGATTTTACAGTGCTACAATCATATAAGAATTTTTAATTATTTCTTTGATCCACTTAAACGATTTTTTCTGTTAAATTTACGTGTGTTAATTACCTTCCCTCCAAATATTGACAAGAACTAAAGTTTAAGTGGGTCATAGCATATAATACACACAAATTTACTTTTGAACTAAACATTTCTCTAATTGAAATATTTAATGTTGCATTAACGGTTATGATCTGAAAATAAGATGTTACAAATATGTTTATTTCATCATGATCACAGATCTAAATTTTTAGATAGCACATACCGTGGACTACTGTAGTTGTATAATAAGTAATGAGATAGATTCTAATTTATTTCTATGGCACTGACACCTCACTATTATGGAGAAGTAATTCTCGACTTCTTAATTGCATTTTCCCATCACAGTCGTATTTAACGCCAAAAAAATTGTGGCTTTTGATCAGATTTTGTAATGGCATCTTGCAAAGTTTACGTAAAAACATATGTTAAGGAAATGTTTGTTAAACTATAATAATATATAATTACCTACATGAACTAGTCCACGGCTGCCTTATTAGGTGTATTTGCTAATTGCTTAATTTTTGTAGGTGTAAATTGCTTTATTAAGCGGTCTTGAACAAAGAATAAATAAATTAGTTCCTTGATTGGATTTAACTCATTCTAAAGATTTGCCGGCTATTAAATGTACATGTATATTATATAATAAGTGGCATTTATTGTTTCAAGTATGAATAGAATTTCTAAAAAAAAAACTTTTTAAGTGTTCTAGCAGCTATCGTTTCAACTTTTTACACAGAAACATCAAAGCATTTAATTTTCTTGAAATTGTTGACCGATTTCTTTAAATATTTTGTTATTCCGTTTTCTTGAAACTTTTCTCATTGAACTGTTTTGTGATGTGATTTTCCCCGGTAAATGTACATTAATATCGCGGAGCTAACTAAATAATTTTATTGAATGATTAAAATCATCAGTCACATTGTAAGTCTTTTTGATTTTTTAAAAGAAGACTACATTGTACATTTACATGAACATTTATGTGTATATGCAAATTAATCACTGCAAATCTCTGTGATTTTCCACCGCGGATTGCAGGTTTTTTTTACTACCCGTCCGTGGTGATTTGTCGCCGTGGGATACTATAGTATGTCCCCCGCGATTTTCTGTTCGCCGTTAAAAGTGTCCGCGGTGACTGAGTGGAAAGAGGAAAAATTGCTTGAGCTGTACTGTACCTGATTTCGCCTTTTTTATATTATATACAACATACCTGATTTCGCCTTTTCGTTTTCTAACTGTTTTTGTTGAGGAGAAACTTCTACCTTGAGTCTTTTTATCTCCTACAACATAAAATATATGATTTTCTTCATCAGGTCCGTCTGAACACATTTCATAACTCGTACGTACAAAATAGATTTTAACCAGGCAAAAACTTCTTGATACGCATATCACAAAAGATAAGGAAGGTCGTCTTCACACCACAGTATATACAAAACCGACTGACGCTCATATGTATCTACACTATTCCAGCTACCATCCAGTGCATCAAAACAACAGCATTCCGTATAGCCAACCATTAAGAACAATTTTAAACTGGGTACAACTGGCATTATGAAACTAGAAGGGTTTTTGTCACAAACACATATGTCTCCCAAAACTATGTATGGTCACTCATGTGAAGTTTCATTAAAATCCCACCAGTAGCTTGACCTGTGAAAGAATGACAAGATTTTTTTTATTTATAGCTCTGATGGCCATTTTGAGCAGCAAGATAGAATGTGCAGGTGATGTGCACAATTTACTAGAGATGGTACTGATCACTCCTATAAAGTTTGGTTGAAATCCCACCAGAAGTTTGGCCTGTGAAGACCAGACAATATTTGTCTATTTTTGGCTCTGGCGGCCATTTTGGCAGTGAAGTGGAATGTGCCAGTTATGCACACAACTAGGGATGGTACTGATCACTCCTGTAAAGTTTGGTTGAAATCCCACCAGTAGTTTGACCTTTGAAGGCCGAACAAGATTTTTATCTCTTTTTAACTCTTGTGGCCAATTTGTGGGGAACATGCCGGTGAGGTGCAAACTAGTCATGGTACAGATCACTCCTGTAAAGTTTGGTTGAAATCCCAAGAGTAGTTTGACCTGTGAAGGGCGGACAAGCTTAATGCGGATGGACAGCCAGACGGAGAACAGAAGGACAGACAGCGAAGGCAAAACAATATGCCTCCAAAATATTTTGGGAGACATAATTACAAAGCTTGCTAACCTTATGGTGTGCCTAATTCAAGCTAATAATACAAACATTAGTTATCTTAGAACCACGGTAATATTTAATACACATACTGGTTTATCAACCGGAAACAAACAGTAATACATGTACCGGTATATCAACCAGAAACAAACAGTAATACATGTACCTGTATATCAACCAGAAACAAACAGTAATACATGTACCTGTATATAAACTCAAAACAAACAGTAATACATGTACTGGTATATGAACCAGAAACAAACAGTAATACATGTACCTGTATATCAACCAGAAACAAACAGTAATACATGCACCGGTATTTCAACCAGAAACAAGCAGTAATACATGTACCAGTATATTAACTCAAAACAAACAGAAATACATGTACTGGTATATGAACCAGAAACAAGCAGTAATTCATGTACCAGTTTATCAACTAGAAACAAACAGTAATACATGTACCAGTATATTAACTCAAAACAAACATGTACTGGTATATCAACCGGAAACAAGCTGTAATACATTTGTTTGTTTATTTCATTTTTCACCTTTTCCCAACAGTATTTCAGTCATATAGGCGTGCAGGTAGTTTCCTTACCATCCTTCCTGGAGAGTTACACCAGTACTAGACTACCACTAAATTCCTCCGTGCTAACTTACCAAAGCATCTCCTGGGGTCGAACCCAAACCAGTGAGGAAACTGGATTAGAAGTGATCGACTCTATCCCCTCGACCACGGTAAGCTGTAATACATGCACTGATATATCAACCAGAAACAAACAGTAATACATGCACTGATATATCAACCAGAAACAAACAGTAATTCATGTACTGATATATCAACCAGAAACAAACAGTAATTCATGTATTGATATATCAACCGGAAACAAACAGTAATTCATGTACTAATATATCAACCGGAAACAAACAGTAATACATGTACCGGTATATCAACCAGAAACAAACAGTAATTCATGTACTGATATATCAACCGGAAACAAACAGTAATACATGTACCAGTATATCAACCAGAAACAAACAGTAATACATGTACTGATATATCAACCAGAAACAAACAGTAATACATGTACCAGTATATCAACCAGAAACAAACAGTAATTCATGTACTGATATATCAACCGGAAACAAACAGTAATACATGTACCGGTATATCAACCAAAAACAAACAGTAATTCATGTACTGATATATCAACCGGAAACAAGCAGTAATACATGTACCAGTATATCAACCAGAAACAAACAGTAATTCATGTACTGATATATCAACCAGAAACAAATAGTAATACATGTACCAGTATATCAACCAGAAACAAACAGTAATTCATGTACTGATATATCAACCAGAACAAAAACAGTAAAACATGTATTGGTTTATCAACCAGAAACAAACAATAATACATGTACAAGTATATCAACCAGAAACAAACAGTTACACATTTTCCGGGATGTCAACTGGAAACAAACAGTAATACATGTACAAATAATCAACCAGAAACAAACAGTAATACATGTACTGATAAATCAACCAGAAACAAACAGTAATACATGTACCGGTATATCAACCGAAAACAAACATTAACATATGTACCAGTATATCAACCTGAAACAAACAGTAATACATGTACCGTATATCAACTGAAAACAAACAGTAATACATGTACCAGTATATCAACCAGAAACAAACAGTTATACATGTACCAGTATATTAACCAGAAACAAACAGTAAAACATGTACCAGTATATTAACCAGAAACAAACAGTTATACATGTACCAGTATATCAACCAGAAACAAACAGTTGTACATGTACCAGTATATCAACCAGAAACAAACAGTTATACATGTACCAGTATATTAACCAGAAACAAACAGTTATACATGTACCAGTAGAACAACCAGAAACGAAGAGTTATACATGTACTGGTATATCAACCAGAAACAAACTGTAATATATGTACTAGTATATCAAACAGAAACAAACAGTAATACATGTACCGGTATATCAACCATGCAGAAACAAACAGTAATACATGTACCGGTATATGAACCAGAAACAAGCAGTAATACATGTACCAGTATATTAACTCAAAACAAACAGTAATACATGTACTGGTATATGAACCAGAAACAAACAGTAATACATGTACTGGTATATGAACCAGAAACAAGCAGTAATTCATGTACCAGTATATCAACTAGAAACAAACAGTAACACATGTACTGGTATATCAACCGGAAACAAGCTGTAATACATTTGTTTGTTTATTTCATTTTTCGCCTTTTCCCAACAGTATTTCAGTCATATAGGCGTGCGGGTAGTTTCCTTACCATCGTTCCTGGAGAGTTACACCAGTACTAGACTACCACTAAATTCCTCCGTGCTAACTTACCAAAGCATCTCCTGGGGTCGAACCCAAACCAGTGAGGAAACTGGATTAGAAGTCATCGACTCTATCCCCTCGACCACGGTAAGCTGTAATATATGCACTGATATATCAACCAGAAACAAACAGTAATTCATGTACTGATATATCAACCGGAAACAAACAGTAATTCATGTACTGATATATCAACCAGAAACAAACAGTAATACATGCACTGATATATCAACCAGAAACAAACAGTAATGCATGTACTGATATATCAACCGGAAACAAACAGTAATTCATGTACTGATATATCAACCGGAAACAAACAGTAATACATGTACTGATATATCAACCAGAAACAAACAGTAATACTTGTACTGATATACCAACCGGAAACAAACAGTAATACATGTACTGATATATCAACCGGAAACAAACAGTAATACACATGTACTGATATATCAACCGGAAACAAACTGTAATTCATGTACTGATATATCAACCGGAAACAAACAGTAATACATGTACTGATATATCAACCGGAAACAAACTGTAATTCATGTACTGATATATCAACCGGAAACAACAGTAATACATGTACTGATATATCAACCGGAAACAAACTGTAATTCATGTACTGATATATCAACCGGAAACAAACAGTAATACATGTACTGATATATCAACCAGAAACAAACAGTAATACATGCACTGATATATCAACCAGAAACAAACAGTAATACAATGCACTGGTATATATCAACCGGAAACACACAGGAATACAATGCACTGATATATCAACCAGAAATAAACAGTAATACAATGCACTGGTATATATCAAGCAGAAACAAACAGTTATACAATGCACTGGTATATATCAACCAGAAACAAACAGTAATACAAGTACTGATATACATGTACCAACTGGAAACAAACAGTAATACATGTACTGATATATCAACCGGAAACAAACAGTAATATATGTACTGATATATCAACCAGAAAAAAAAAACAGTAATACATGTATCGGTTTATCAACCAGAAACAAACAATAATACATGTACAAGTATATCAACCAGAAACAAACAGTAATTCATGTACCGGTATATCAACTAGAAACAAACAGTAATACATGAACCGGTATATCAACCAGAAACAAACAGTAATACATGTACTGATATATCAACCAGAAACAAACAGTAATATATGTACTGATATATCAACCAGAAAAAAAAAACAGTAATACACGTATCGGTTTATCAACCAGAAACAAATAATAATACATGTACCGGTATATCAACCAGAAACAAACAGTAATACATGTACTGATAAATCAACCAGAAACAAACAGTAATACATGTACCGATATTTCAACTAGAAACAAACAGTAATGCATGTACTGATATATCAACCAGAAACAAACAGTAATACATGCACCGGTATATCAACCTGACACAAAAAGTAAAACATGTGGCGGTATATCAACTTAAAACAAACAGAAATACATGAACCAGTATGTCAACCAGAAACAAACAGTAATACATGTGCCGGTATATCAACCAGAAACAAACAATAATTCATGTACCGGTATATCAACCAGGAACAAACAGTAATACATGTACCGGTATATCAACCAGAAAAAAACAGTAACACATCTACCAGTATATCAACCAGAAACAAACAGTAATACATGTACTAGT